TTTGAACTGCAAAAATTAACCATTTTCGCAGAAATTGATTCGACTATTAGCTTCAACATAAGCTCTGGCTATTCTTTTCCATCTAACTCATTCTAAGCATAATCATTGTAATGAAAATTTAATCAACTTGCCAGGGTGAAAAGTATCTATTCACCAGTATAGATACTTATCATTAGATTTTTAATATTATATATATATAAATATATATATTTAGCAAATTAAATCGAAAAATACTCCTCCAAACAAGTGCCAACCAACCTTCCCATAAGAAAAAATGGAGCTTGCATTGAATATACATACTTCATTGACAAAGCGCCTTCTTGATAATGAAAAATAGCACCATCTTTCATCATGTAAACATAATTATTTTCATTACATCTTCGATCGCGATTATCTATCAATTAATAGATGAGTGTTTTGTGATGCAACTTAAGCCAATACTTGTGATTGTATGTTGAATCATCACTTAACGTTAACTTACAGCAAACTTTCATGTATTAATGATTAAACAGCAAGATATTCGATAGTATTAAGGGTTTTTCAGAAAAGATCAACCTATATCTATGTGTTTTCACAAGAAAAAGATTCAAGTATTTCTGATGATAGGAACTTGAAAATATTTGATAATATTATCGATTTAATGGTGCGATACAGGTCTTGTTGATTCAACGTCAAGTTAATTAATGATAATTATGTTTTCGAAAATGAGTTGAAAAGTCGAATTTGCTGAGTGTTTTGCATCTCTCATTGCAATTTTGAAACCAAAACTCAAGATAAAGCTTACACATCCTCAAGTTAACTTAAACATATGTATTTCTTACACAGATAATTGACAAAACAATTGTTTACAAAAAGAATATTATTGAATTGAAATAAAAGCGTAAATATTACTAAATATGGAATTTGAACTCACTAAAGATATGTATTGAGTGTTTTGATAATGAACAATTGAATCTGAAGTATAATAGACTCACTTACCTGATAACATGATTGCAAGAGAAAACTTGAGTTTTCACCGTATATAAGAACATAAAAGATTTTTCAATAACTCACAGAGAAGTTTTGACTGTTTAATAGTTGATTTGTGTTTTTCACAGTGTTTAATACTTTTGATTTCCTTGTGTACAGATTTTAGTATAAAATTATGGATGTTTTCGATATGGATTTTCATGACACTGATTTTTTACTTACGGAAAAACTTCCAGATTTTATTACGAGAGATGGAACGTAAGAGCCACCTTTAACAGAATTTTTTCAGAAAAATCATCTATTGACGATGCCACTGAAAATTGTGAGCATTCAAGGGAAACATTAGCTGCTGTCGAAAGTTTGATTTCAACTGGTATCCTTGCGGAAAACAATGGACATTCTAACATTGAAAATCAACGTCCGGATGAGATTTGCCAGTCCCCAAGCAAACCTGTCAACCGTAAGAAACCGCCAAAGACTAGCAAATCGTGTAAAAAAAGCAAAAAACAAACACCTAAAACCAAGATCAATGAAACGACTCATAATGAAGAAATAATGCCAAACGAGATGCCAACAGTTGTTACATCCGAAGATTCACCAGTTTCCATATCTCAAACAATGGATCCCATAGAAAGTGACCCTGTTTCTGTTGCCAAAGGTAGAGTAAAATACAATTATCCATTGTACACTCACGTCAAATCTGATACATACTACAAGTTCATCAGAAAAACACAACAGAAAAACAGAAAAATTCATCTTGCTCCACCGGGAGACGACAGTCACCAATACAAGATGATTTTTTGATACCAAATTGTTTTTTCAGCTCTTGGTATCGCCAATCAGTTTTTCTGATGAACTGATGATGATGGTGACTGTCGTCTCCCGGTGGAGCAAGATGAATTTTTCTGTTTTTCTGTTGTGTTTTTCTGATGAACTTGTAGTATGTATCAGATTTGACGTGAGTGTACAATGGATAATTGTATTTTACTCTACCTTTGGCAACAGAAACAGGGTCACTTTCTATGGGATCCATTGTTTGAGATATGGAAACTGGTGAATCTTCGGATGTAACAACTGTTGGCATCTCGTTTGGCATTATTTCTTCATTATGAGTCGTTTCATTGATCTTGGTTTTAGGTGTTTGTTTTTTGCTTTTTTTACACGATTTGCTAGTCTTTGGCGGTTTCTTACGGTTGACAGGTTTGCTTGGGGACTGGCAAATCTCATCCGGACGTTGATTTTCAATGTTAGAATGTCCATTGTTTTCCGCAAGGATACCAGTTGAAATCAAACTTTCGACAGCAGCTAATGTTTCCCTTGAATGCTCACAATTTTCAGTGGCATCGTCAATAGATGATTTTTCTGAAAAAATTCTGTTAAAGGTGGCTCTTACGTTCCATCTCTCGTAATAAAATCTGGAAGTTTTTCCGTAAGTAAAAAATCAGTGTCATGAAAATCCATATCGAAAACATCCATAATTTTATACTAAAATCTGTACACAAGGAAATCAAAAGTATTAAACACTGTGAAAAACACAAATCAACTATTAAACAGTCAAAACTTCTCTGTGAGTTATTGAAAAATCTTTTATGTTCTTATATACGGTGAAACTCAAGTTTTCTTGCAATCATGTTATCAGGTAAGTGAGTCTATTATACTTCAGATTCAATTGTTCATTATCAAAACACTCAATACATATCTTTAGTGAGTTCAAATTCCATATTTAGTAATATTTACGCTTTTATTTCAATTCAATAATATTCTTTTTGTAAACAATTGTTTTGTCAATTATCTGTGTAAGAAATACATATGTTTAAGTTAACTTGAGGATGTGTAAGCTTTATCTTGAGTTTTGGTTTCAAAATTGCAATGAGAGATGCAAAACACTCAGCAAATTCGACTTTTCAACTCATTTTCGAAAACATAATTATCATTAATTAACTTGACGTTGAATCAACAAGACCTGTATCGCACCATTAAATCGATAATATTATCAAATATTTTCAAGTTCCTATCATCAGAAATACTTGAATCTTTTTCTTGTGAAAACACATAGATATAGGTTGATCTTTTCTGAAAAACCCTTAATACTATCGAATATCTTGCTGTTTAATCATTAATACATGAAAGTTTGCTGTAAGTTAACGTTAAGTGATGATTCAACATACAATCACAAGTATTGGCTTAAGTTGCATCACAAAACACTCATCTATTAATTGATAGATAATCGCGATCGAAGATGTAATGAAAATAATTATGTTTACATGATGAAAGATGGTGCTATTTTTCATTATCAAGAAGGCGCTTTGTCAATGAAGTATGTATATTCAATGCAAGCTCCATTTTTTCTTATGGGAAGGTTGGTTGGCACTTGTTTGGAGGAGTATTTTTCGATTTAATTTGCTAAATATATATATTTATATATATATAATATTAAAAATCTAATGATAAGTATCTATACTGGTGAATAGATACTTTTCACCCTGGCAAGTTGATTAAATTTTCATTACAATGATTATGCTTAGAATGAGTTAGATGGAAAAGAATAGCCAGAGCTTATGTTGAAGCTAATAGTCGAATCAATTTCTGCGAAAATGGTTAATTTTTGCAGTTCAAAAATTGTCTATGGTTAGTTAGTATGTTGAAAGGATGAAAGAAGGAGAAAAAGAGATCAGAGGCTAGAACCAAGTTAGATTCTTATGGTTAGTATTATTCTATGCAATTGAGGTCCATCTTCAGCTATTAATATAATAAATCATATATTAATATATGAATAAATTTCAATCAGAATTTCCAATAAGAAATTAGCTTAAAAAAATTCAATAAGATTTACCTGAAGTAAGAGCCACTGAGAGTGTTAAAATAAGAGAAACGATAACCAATAGTTTCACCATTTTGATATTAATTAGAATTGGAATGAAAGTTGGTTAAAAGTATTAGTTGATTAAGTGAGTTAACTGTAAATATTTTCTGTTTTCAAATGAGCCTTTTTATATTGAAATTTACTAATTTATCGATGATTAGATCCACAACAAACCCTTTATTGTTTGATACAATTTCTTTTATCTCATTGATTGTGACTAGGGTACAATTGGAAAAGAAACTCTTGAATTCACAATTATCCATGGAAACTATTAATATAATACATCTATCAGTGTTATCGATGTGATTTAAACGTGTTTAATGAGAGTCCATTTGTACCAATCAAATGATAGCAAAGAGACTCAACTTAATTTATAAATAGATTAAAAATATAAGTTCATTCATTTTATCAATTAGATTCCTTCACAATTATATACTTAAGTAATTGTATTGCGTAATATAACTTCAAATCGGTTAGTTGGTCAGCAACTACCGGTCGAGTTACATAACCATAGATGGCGACAGTATATTACTAACCTTCATATTTATAATCAAGATACAGTTTTGGGTACGGACAATTTCAGGTACTTGACTGTAATTGTTTTACTCTTTAAATTCATTCAAATTGCATTTTCCCCTTCTAACCAAAAGGTTTTTCTCAAATGATCGTTGAATAGTTAACTCATTTATCCCATAACAATACAATCAGCATCAAGCTCTAAATGAATATTAAGCTTCTTCTCTATCAACACACTGATCTTGCGATTGTAAAATGTAGACTGTAAAAGAGAGAGAGAGAGAGATTGGTTTTCAATGGCTGTTGCGGCCTTCGGGGGCTTCCCCACTAGTTGGGGAGCTCGGCTAATTCCACGCTTTCGCGTATTCGCGCCTACCCGACTATTTTAGCCGACGTACTCAATCGGCTGTATATAGTTTAAACTACGGGTCCCGGGGGAAGGGGTGAGGTTATTCGTAGGGGCCTAATCCCACGCCAGAGGCTTCTCTCCCCAATGCTGGATCATAGCATCAGTACTCGCCTCTGTCAGGAGTCGAACGCGGAGCCACAGAGTTAGTAAGGCCAATGTAAAGGCTTACCCTCGTCGCTAACCACTGGACTACAGCAGAGAGAGAGAGAGAGAGAGAGAGAGAGAGAGAGAGAGAGAGAGAGAGAGAGAGAGAGAGAGAGAGAGAGACCGAAAGTTCAATGATAGAAAACCAAAAATTGTTATAAGAAATTCAGTTATCATGAATGATGGTGAGAAATGAAATCACCTTAAATCTTATCATGAAAACATAGAAAAAGTTTGGCAACAACAAACATCTTAATCAAAGAAATTAATAAAAGAATAGTTATCATTATCTTATCCATGATTTCAAAAGATATCAGAACTTTCATCAAGAAATTGAGAGTTAAATTCAGTCTCAGAACATTTTGACTCTGTTACTTTTTTCTCACTGGTTGATTGAAAGAAAACACAACACAATTCAATCAGAATTTTCTCAGATTAATCTATTATTATTATCAGAATTCAATCATGATAATACTAATCAAGAATCATTATTAATATGTAATAATGATCGTCATAATCAATGACCAATATCATCTCAATTTATCATCATTTGTAACCCATCTATAAGATAAGAAAATCAAATTCATAATCTATTGGGAATAAAGTTTATCTAATGATTTTTTTTTCTGATTCTTATCATGAGCACGATGATGATAATCTGTCATTTGAACACAAAGAGTAATAGTTATTACTCTTTGCTTAAAAGTGTTGAAAACTGTGATTAAATTGAATTAGCAAGTTTTCTTATACTTTTCTTAATTTCTGAACTGAATTTAATCATTAATTAGAACTGAGGTGAAAGTTAGTTAAAAGTATTAGTAGATTGAGTGATTTAACTGTAAATATTTTCTGTTTTCAAATGAGCAGTGAAAAGGTTTTGCTTTGTATTCAATTTTGCAAGACAGTGTAAGAAGAAGGAAGTGTAAGGAAAGTAGAATCAACCAGCTGATCAGAGTTTTATTGGTACCCATCAAGATTATTTACTCATGGACTCGTTTAACTGGTAAATTAACCTCTAATCTCCCGATGAAAGTTTCCTCATCAATCTTGGACTTTCTGGTTTGTGTAATAAAGATCATCTTTCAACAATATACATGTATTCCAAAGCTCCATCTAAGAATGGAATGAACTACTTAAGAGTTTTGCTGAAAAAAATTTGTTTCTACTTGTTAACGAAAAACTTTCATTATTGTTCTGAATTAATTTGTCTATTTCTTGTGACTTTTCGAGTGCTTAATGATTTGTATTCAACCTTCTTGCCACGATGGATAGACCAATATGCCCATATGTCGTAAACAGAAGCGCAAGTAAGTAGATAATCTCGTTCTTTGTTTTTGTTTTAATTTCAATCAAGGTGAATGAAGAAAAAAATTATTGATCATCTTTTCGTTTGATTTTTTAAGGTTATGTGCCGAAGAGAATAACTAAAACTACTCTTTTAGACTATAAGGGGATACCTGAATATACAGAGTCTCCTGGGGCCTTGAAATATCGGAAGAAAACGTGCCTTCGATCATACAAACCATCGGATAAAGCACCAGATCCAAATGATTATCGGAAAGTTGGATGTGAATATTTACTTAAAATGCGAAAGTTTGGGGGAACGACTGAAATAAACGGCGAAAGTTTTTTGGTCTTCAAATACCCAGAAATGCTTACAACCCTTGAAGCAACAGTAAATGATCTGGGCATCACAGAAATTGACGAGTTAAAACTTCCAAGACGCAGCATGAAAGATTTTAAGAGACCCGAATACTTTCTCGAGATCGAGAAAACTGATGAGTTTGTTTACCATATGAAACGAGCAAAATTTACTCCGTTACTCTTTTCCTGCGTTTATTGCGATTGGGACTCGACTGATCTTTCGGAGGTGAAAAAACATTTATTTGGACGAAAAGTCGGAAAAAAGGAAAAAAGTTTCCTTGTGATCGATTGTAAAGAGAGAATGGTAAAAGATGGAATCGAATATTCATCTGATGAAGTTCCAATCGATCATCCACCACCTCGAATGTTCCCATGGGCATTAATTTCATGCGTCAGACCAGAGATGGTTCGTTATAAAGGAAAATTCGACTTAACAGATGCAATTAAAGCCCAATGGAATCTATTAATGCTCGACAAGAGACCCAAATATCATCGCTTAGTCAAATAACTTCTATTGTAATTACACTTACACTTAGATACATTTCCACCATTTTCCGCATATCCAATGATCTTGGTCTTACATTCAATCATAAAGATGGACCGAGCAGTTAGACTAACCGACGAATATGATGTTCCAGGTCTAGTTTTCTAACTGGTCCATCTTCAGATTTTACAATTTGTATAAAGAACAGAGAAACAATACATTTAATATAATTAATTGTGATTAGAGTAAAACTGCAACACTTGTACCTAATAAATGAACATTTTCAGCATCACGAAGAGTTTCAGACAAAATATTTAACCCTCAATACAGAGACGCAACATAATTGAATAGACTAGAACATAATTTTGGTTACCTGGTTATTCATGATCAGCGATTTTTCATTTATTTTGTTGAAACTTTCTGGTTCTCATAATAATTATCTTGCGAGAAGATGATTCAGGGCTCCATCTAAGAATGAAAAAAGTTACCAATGAAGTTTTGTTGGGATAAATTCTGAGAACTTGGACAACACCAAATTGTATTAGTTTCTTATTTTCCAAGTCAAATCTTCCGTTCCTTGATTGTTTCGTTACAACTAAGTGTTCTTAATCACGATGGATCCACCCAAATGTTCATCTGAAATAAAAACAAGTAAAGGTAAATAGATAATCTCGTTCTTTGTTTTAATTTATTTACTTGACTTTAAATGAGCCAAGGAATATTATCTTCACGTTAACTTTTCTTTTCAGGTTTGGTGCCTAAGAAGCTCGAACCAAATTTCGTCAATATGGGGCTTACAAGGGGCAGTATTCGAACTGTGCCTGATTATTCGCGAATTCCTAAGAAAACTGCACGTAAGTACTTCCTCTTTATGTCTAAGATTCCACTAAGAACTGTTTGTTTTTCCGTTTACTTTTCTTTTTGTTAATAGGTTTTCTACCATTGGAACCAGACAGATTTATATTGGAAATTCAGTTTAAGAATGTTAATCTTTTCGAATTTCTGAAGATACCTGATTACTCAGAATCTCCTGGGGCCTTGAAATATCGGAAGAAAACGTGCCTTCGATCATACAAACAATCGGATAAAGCACCAGATCCAAATGATTACCGAAAAGTTGGATGTGAATATTTACTTAAATTGCGAAGACTTGTAGGAATGAAAACAAGATATGGTCAGCCTATTGGGTTTTTTATGTACCCAGAAATGTTTCTATCCATTGATGCATTAGAAAATGAATTGGGTTATACTCAAAGCCAATTAGCAGGAGCCAAACGATGTTTCAAGTCCGATTCATATAAGTTAGATTGCTATCTCGAGAATACTGATGAGTTTGTTTACCATATGAAACGAGCAAAATTTACTCCGTTACTCTTTTCCTGCGTTTATTGCGATTGGGACTCGACTGATCTTTCGGAGGTGAAAAAACATTTATTTGGACTAAAAGTCGGAAAAAAGGATAAAAGTTTCCTTGTGATCGATTGTAAAGAGAGAATGGTAAAAGATGGAATCGAATTTCCATCTAATGAAGTTCCAATCGATCATCCACCACCTCGCATGTTCCCTTGGACTCTAATCAAATGTGTCAACCCAGAGATGGTTCGTTATAAAGGAGAATTTGACTTGACAGAGACAATTAAAGCTCAATGGAATCTACTAATGCTCGATAAAAGACCCAAAAGTCACAGACTTACAAAATAAATTTTTTATTGGTCAGCTCTCTTTCATTTACTTAAAACTTTCCAAATCAATATCCATCTTTATCAATTTAGGACGAAACTATACCAAGGAAAAATCAAGCAAATGACCGAGCAAAAAATAACTTAAAAACATTCAAATTGGCCATAATTTTCATTTACGTTTTCTTATTCATAGATCTTCTTTCATCCACTGATACAACAAGTAAATTTTTCCCAATACTTTTGGTAGGAGCTTTACATGTGTACTGTAATTCTGTTTATTCAAATCAATTTGTTCGTATTTTTTGTATCGTCAACAATACAATATGTATAATTATTTACACCCATTCTAATATAAATCTATCTACAATCGAATCGAGACAATTACTTTAAGATTAACAACCTCGGGTGATCGGTGAGTATTTTAAGGTCCTTTCGATACTAGTAAAATTATCTTTGGTCTTTGAGATGAATTGATCTTTTTTCGGTTGTTTCTCAGGTCAGATCTTTTCGCGATTCTTTTCAAGAACTGGTCTCTAAGAATATCAATATAAAGAGAGTTTCGTCTAGAAACGATCAAAGTGAACAAGCTAATCAATTAATGAGTAGCTTTACACAAAAAGATTACAAAGATGAAGGTGAGAGGGAAAAGGTCAACAATTTGACTTTGATATATATTAATACTATCTCACCTTTTTCTACTTGATAGTTATTAGAAGTACTGTTATACAACTAAAGATCTAAAGAGCTAAAGGGTGTTTCGTTCGAGAACGACAAAAGTAAACGAATTAATCAATCCCTCAATCGCCCTAAAAAATGATATAAATGATGATTAAGAAAAAGATGTGATAAAATTTAAGGTAAAAATGAAAAACAACAGAGATCAAAGGAAAAGTGTTGACCTTTCCCTTATTATCGCCTTCATCTTTATCATCTTTTAGATGAGTTAATTTACTGATTAGTTTGTGTACCTTGGTCGTTTTTAAACGAAACACTATTTACAATCATCATGATGATAACTATTAATAATAGATTTCATCTTCTCGTTTCTTGATTAGATAAACAAATGTTAAGAGAATCATCATCATAAGTAACATCAAGTTGAAACTCATTATCAAAGAGTAAGAAGTTACTACTCTTTACTCATTATGTTGATTGTATTTTTTAATTGTTTGAAGAATCAATTGACCATCACAATGACTATAAACTTTTTCTTAATCTTTTTGTGTCTGATCTCCAATGCATCTTAATTATTAATAGTTTTCTTTTTTAACTTGTATCTCTCTTTCTCTCTACTTTTTGGTTTTCGTAATAATTACCTAGAATTAAGCAAAATGACCTTATTGACCAGAAAAAGAAGCTTATAATGGTCTATCTTGAGAGTAACAAATTTATCGGAACATTACATTTATTTAAAGGACAATTAAAATTTTCATAAGGATAGTCAGGCCGGAACGAGCCCGTGAAATACTGAGCCCAAGACTCTAACTTCTCGGCCAGCGATTCGGCTAGCGAAAGTCTGATCCAAGGCCCCGTCTATTGTGTGTAAAATGATTAACGTTAAGTTTATTCCACGTTAAACTGATTTGGTGCCTGATTAAGAAACAATTAAATGGAGCAACGAATATTTAAGTTGATTAGTTTAATCGTGATTAACACCAATCAAGCAAAACAATAGAAAATGTTCAATAAACTCTATTTGATTTACAAGAATAAGACTGAAGAGATTTACCAATGAGTTTTGTAAAGGGAAATTTCTCAGAACTTGATATTTATCGAGATAATTTACTTATCGACTCATTGTATTGTTAAGTAAACCTCTAATCTGATGAAAATTTGTCATCAATATTTATCTTCCTGCTTTATATTATATTTAACAAGCTATTCAAGAGCTCATTCTCAAAGTGAAGAGAACTACTAACACGTTTCGTTGAAAGAAATTTGTTTCATCTTGCAAACGAAAAACTCTGATATTGTTCTGAATTTATTTTTCTTTTTGAGAATTTTACTATCTGACCACAATGAATGTCGCAAGAAGGAGTATATATATGGGTGACCAAAGTAAATTAATAATCTAAGTTTTGATTTATAAATATGAATAAGGAAAAAAATGGCTGATTATTTTTTTGTTTAATTTCCTTTTCAGATTATGTGCCCAAGAAATCTAATGTGAATTTTGTTTCTCAATTCGATTTGATGATGTTACCTGAATATACAGAGTCTCCTGGAGCCTTGAAATATCGGAAGAAAACCTGCCTTCGATCATACAAACCATTGGATAAAGCACCAAACCCAAATGATTATCGGAAAGTTGGTTGTGAATATTTACTTAGAATGCGAAAGTATGATGGAATGACTGAAATCGACGGCCAGTCTATAATGATCTTTATCTACCCGGAAATGCTTTTGACGTACGAAACATTGAAAGAGTTGGGCCATCCTGAAATTCAACCATCGAAGCTTCCATTGCGCAGCATGAAAGAGTTTAAGAGACCCGAATACTTTCTCGAGATCGAGAAAACTGATGAGTTTGTTTACCATATGAAACGAGCAAAATTTACTCCGTTACTCTTTTCCTGCGTTTATTGTGATTGGGACTCGACTGATCTATCGAAGGTGAAAAAACATTTATTTGGACTAAAAGTCGGGAAAAAGGAAAAAAGTTTCCTTGTGATCGAATGTAAAGAGAGAATGATAAAAGATGGAATCCAATTTCCATCTGATGAAGTTCCAATCGATCATCCACCACCTCGCATGTTCCCTTGGGCTCTAATCAAATGTGTCAACCCAGAGGTGTTGAGAGCTAGAGGAAAATTCACATTAACAGAGACAATTAAAGCTCAATGGAATCAGTTAATGTTTGACAAGCGGCCCAAAAAACATCGACCTGTCAATTAATTATGTTCTACTTATTCGATTTTTGTTTTACTGACCTGAAACTGTCTATACCAATTAGCACCTTCGTCAGCTTAATGTAATTTCGAAGTGAAAAACAAATTAATGAATAAAAATCAGGATTTCCAATTAGAAACTAATTCAATGTTTTACCTGAACTAACAGCCACCGAGAAGATAAAAATAATAGAAACGATATCCAAAAGTCTTACCACTTATGTTATCATTTATAATTACATTATACACATTATTGTAATACTTGTATTTTAAAATGTCAGGACCGAAGACGAAAGTTTATTATCAGACCAATTATAACAGTAGTATGAAAACCTCCGCTTCTGGCTCAGAAGCGGAAACGGAAATGGAGGTGGGGATCAGAAAACGTTCTAGAACATTCTAGAAAGTTCAATGAACTGTCTGGGATGACGTCAATAGTGTCTTGAAACCATCATTCGATGTTAGGACTAATGAACTGAGTAGAATGACGTTATCAATAAAAAATGATGCAATAAAAATAGGTATAAAAAGCACTAGTCTTTGTTAGATAATCATTATTATCAAAATGTGTCAATCAGAGTTGGAGTTGATGAATCTACTGAAGAGCAAAGAATTCTCAGACAAATATGAATCTTTCTTGGTCAAAAATGATCTAATATAAGAATAAAGTTATTAAAAATGTATAAATACTTGTAACAATTTATTTAATCGGTCAATCATGAGTGATCTAGTCTACGCGTTGCTGCTTTTCCTCGCTCTAACCATTCTCATAATCTTTAGGTATTATTTCATCATCTCTTTTGTTCAAAATGAAAATAGCTAATCTCGTGTCATTATGGGATTATGGTCAAAAAATTCCTCTGAACAATCGAATGAAAAAATTCAATGCAGATGTATAAAAAATGGTCTACAGACTCTTCTAACATTTGAATCAGGAAAGGATTCTTGTTGTTCTTGTTCTTGATGTTGTTGATGATGATGATCTGTTAGTAAATATATATAGTTAATAGTTGATTTATTCATGAAATATTATTATAACAATGATAATTCAAACCTACCATTTGGAATCACAGTAGCATTATCCCTTGTATTTGTCATATTAGGATCAAAAACCATTGCTGCAAAAACAAAATAAAAATATTATTAATCACATCATTAATAAAGGATCATTCTTCAAACTTACCGAATAAAAAAAACAATTGAAGAGGAGCACGAAACAAATACATTGTTATTAAAATAACAAAACAAATTAAATCAGATAACTTGATAAACAGATAACACGATAATATTAACTGTAAGGTTACAAATGAAAAAAATGTAAACAAGAAAAGTTAGCAGGAAAAAGTAAACAGGAAACAGAATGGTCACGTGAAGTGTTACTTAGTAACAAAAATCATGTGACCATTCAACCGCATTATTTAAATAAATTTCTATTAATTAATAAAATAGACAATAATTTTTCCCCCACTTCCGCTTCTGAGTGGTTCAGAAGCGGAGGTTTTATTACTACTTATAACTCTATGAGCTATGAAAAGGATGGAAAATTTTCTTGTAAGACTTTGGCTTCTTTGGAAGTTATCAAAATGTTGGATAATCTTCGAGTTAAAATGATAATCTCGAAAGTTGAAGGTTCAAGAAGCCACAAGGGTATTGGTACAATTGCCTTTCGTCCTTAAGATAATTAATAACTTGTTTCCAATCGACGTCTTTGGTTCCTGATTCAGTTGAAGTTGAAACCATGTAATTGATCAAACCTTCAACATCTCCATTGTTCAAATATTCAATGATCTTGGACTTATGTTCGAGGATAAAGGTGACTAAATCAGCTCGACCAACTGATAAATACGATGCACCAGATCCAAATGATTACCGAAAAGTTGGATGTGAATATTTGCTTAAACTAAGAAAGATTGTAGGAAGAACTCAAATAGACGGGCAACATTTTGTGATCTTTAACTCGATACAAATGATTTTAAGCATCGAAACATTAGAGAATGAGCTGGGCCATCCTGAAATTGACGAGACGAAACTTGAAACTAAAGAGTCTTTAGTAAAGACTATAAAAAGTTTAAGAAGCCTGAAAACTTTCTCGAGAATACTGATGAGTTTGTTTACCATATGAAACGAGCAAAAATTACTCCGTTACTCTTTTCTTGTGTTTATTGTGATTGGGACTCGACTGATCTTTCGGAGGTGAAAAAACATTTATTTGGACGAAAAGTCGGAAAAAAGGATAAAAGTTTCCTTGTGATCGATCGTAAAGAGAGAATGATAAAAGATGAAATTAAAGCCCAATGGAATCTATTAATGCTCGAAAAGAGACCCAAATATCATTGATAAATCAAATAAATTCTCTACGTGGTTGACCCTTTTTCACTGAACCGAAATCTTCCAAAGCAATATTCATCATCATCAATCGAAATTAAACCGCCGACAAAAATATTCTAGGGACAAGCCAGTACGATTAGAATTATATGATACAAGTAGTTCGTCTTGGAGATGAAGATCAATGTCAATAGAATCGGTTAGTTGCAATTACCGGTCGAGTTACATAACAATAGATGGCGACAGTATATTATTAATACTAACCTCACATTTATAATCAAGAATCTTGATTCAAGATATTAATAATTGTTTTACTCTTTAAATATATTCAAATTTTATTTTCTCCTTCTAACCAAACATTTTACGTTATTGGTATGGCTATAAAACTTATAAGAATTTACTTTTCGATAAAAAAAGATGTTGATTCATAGCTGAATTTTTCAATTCTAATAAAAAGCTAGACTCAGTCACACAATATTATCCATTCAAAAGTTTTTCTCAAATGATCGTTGAATAGTTAACTCATTTATCCCATAACAATACAATCAGCATCAAGCTCTAAATGAATATTAAGCTTCTTTTCTAATCAACACACTGATCTTGCGATAAGTTGAAAAACTGTAAAAGAGAAAGAGAGAGAGAGAGACCGTAAATTCAATGATAAAAAACCAAAAATTGTTATAAGAAACTCAGTTATCATGAATGATGGTGAGAAATGAAATCACCTTAAATCTTATCATGAAAACATAGAAAAAGTTTGGCAACAACAAACATCCTAATCAAAGAAATTAATAAAAGAATAGTTATCATCATCTTATCCATGATTTCAAAAGATATCAGAACTTTCATCAAGAAATTGAGAGTTAAATTCAGTCTCAGAACATTTTGACTCTGTTACTTTTTTCTCGCTTTGATTGAAAGAAAACACAACACAATTCAATCAGAATTTTCTCAGATTAATCTATTATTATTATCAGAATTCAATCATGATAATACTAATCAAGAATCATTATTAATATGTAATAATGATCGTCATAATCAATGACCAATATCATCTCAATTTATCATCATTTGTTACCCATTTATAAGATAAGAAAATCAAATTCATAATCTATTGGGAATAAAGTTTATCTAATGATTTTTTTTCTGATTCTTATCATGAGCATGATGATGATAAGATATAATCTGTCATTTGAACATCACAGAAAAGGCAAAAAATATCTTCCAGCATGAAATCAATTTATAATTCAATCAAAGTGAATCATTTATTATTTCAGATACAATCTTTATAATCAAAAGTAGATGATGATTATCATGTAGCAATAATGATTACAGTTATCACCATGATAATGATAACAAAATATTACAACTGAATCAAAGGATTGGAACACATTATTCACCGAAACAGTGAAAAATGTTCAGATTTACTCTGAGTGAGTTTGGAATTACATTAAATTAAATCAGCATCATGAGCTCAGATGCTTCTTGAATTGTCATTACCTCTCACTCTACATCATCGTTTCATCATCAAAGTCTCTCTCTCCCTCCCTCTCACTCTCTCACTAACTCAATCTTTTCGTAATAGTCTGATGAGAAATCGGAAAAAGTAAAAAAAATTGATACGAGCAATAGAATAAAAAAATTGTCCTTGGAACTTTTTTCTTGAGATTCATTCAGATATTCTGAATTCTAGATAAAGATAGATTGATATACAATGTTGAAGAAAAGTGTAACATCAAGCATCATTAGATGATAGGAATTGAGGATGAGAATGGATGATGATAATGATGATAGCGAATTGAAAATTGCTATTTTTTCATGTCTCAAATTTTTAAGGAAAAAGTTCTGGATTATGATGATACACACACAGATTATAAGGTGAAAAATATAATATAATAGGTAATAATGATTTCTATTTGAAAAAGACAAAAGTTAAACTGGAATCTGATTGAATCAGAATCATCTATTAATATACTGGTTATGGGTCCATGATCATTTCCAGCCCCATGAAAATGTCTTAACGATAATGATAGGTGATGATAATCGTCCTGATGATGATGGTGATGGGAAAGGATGATAACAATAGATGATATTAAATGTTTCAAATAAGATGGATGGAGATATGTGTCAACTAGAGTTTGTTCAATTCTGATTGTCTTCATTTTCATTCTGAATTGAACTTTTTCCCTCTCGCTCAGTTGTTTTCACCATGAAATTAAAAAGATTAAATTGATTCTCAAGGTGGAAAATGTTACTTGTAATGATTTAATTGCAATTAAATTGAATTCAGTCAACAATCAACTGAACTTGACTTATTATCACGAAGCTTCAAATTACCGTTTTCGCTTAAATCTGATTCAATTAAATACTAATTCAGTGATGTATTTATAATAAAATGACCAAATCGATCCATAAGCTCTTGGTCAATACCTAGAATCTGACCGATGAAACTGATTTTCAGATTATAAGGGAAATAAAAAAACTACATTTCAATGCCTCAGGGTAAATAGTTGATATTAATCAGAGTAACAGTTAAAAACATCCAAGGTGTATAAGTCATAATAGGAAATCATATTTTCACTATAAACTGACCAATGAGTCTAATTGATGACCAGACACATGGTACTCATAAATAGACCAGTTTGAGTGATATTAAATCAATAGTTTATGGAGAATCAATTTTTTCCATGAAAAAATAATATCTTTACTTGACCATTACATGGACCATACACAAAAGACTCTTGATTGTCCAGTTATTATTGTTCAATGTTACATTTATTACTTTGAGCTATCACCAGTAAAGAAGTGGACACAACCAATTCAAGACTTTGAATCTGAGGTATTTTTTACAACTGGACAGTGAAAATATAAAAAAAATCACATAATGATAATAATACATTGATCATATTATTGGTCAGCAGTTGATGGTAAAGTAGTGGTCATCTTTGCCCTTTTTATATTTTATCATCAATTGCCAATTGAAATGATGATGGAAAACTTTTTTCCTCTCTTCCATTTAATAATTTAAAGATAGATAAATGATTACCCAATGTCCAGTCTGGCATGAAAAATGACCTTACAAATGAAGAGTGACCACTAGTTAGCGTTAAATGTTAGTTTGTGTGTGCTTTTTGTGACCAGTCATTTACAACCATGAATGGTGAACCCCTTGAGGTATCAGATGATAATGATGTTCATGATAAAGTTCAATAAGTGGGAAGGGGAGAAAGATATCAAATGGTCATTTTCATGTTCGATCAATGTAATTTTTTCCCCTTCTTTGATGATGAAAAGGAAACTCTCAGAATTTACCATGAAAAAGTTATTCAAATAGATTATAAAATTGTGATCAATTCTTATTCTTTTCTTTTGTCAATTGTTATACTTTTTCATACACATGGAATACTTTTAACTTTGAATCTTAATGGTTCATTGAATTTATCTCAAGGTTATTTCAAAGTTTCTCTTTTTCCCTGAAACATTCACGATTTCAGGGTAATCTTGAATTCATTTTCTTTAATCAACCTTAAAATCATCATTTGATTTCAACCATCACCACAATTCACTTGAACTGATTCATTTGATTAAAATCTCTGCTCCAAATATTGATCATCACCTTCATGATAACTTGATTAAAAGTTGAACAATTAATTACTCAAATTTTTCATGCTATATCAATCCAGCAATTACTTTCACTTGTAATTAACAGTTTTTTTTGCTTTCCAAAGTTAAACTTGTTGACAATCAAAGTGGTGACAACAATTAAAGCCCAAATTTGCAATTTACTAATTACTTCAATCAACCAGCAATTCAATCGTAATGAAAATGGTATTGTAAGTCAAAGGTAATCAATGTTATAGATTATAATTGAAATTAACTTGGAAATTGATTTTTGATTGTCCAATTTAAATGAACATTTTGATTGTCCTCGATTTTTACTCTCTCTCTCTTTTAACTCATTAAATTTAAATCATTGGATGTTAATATGTTAGATTAGTTGTATAATAACAATTAAAAAGAAACCATAGTTAATTGTGATTACACTTGGTGATTGGATTAATGATCGTGAATGAAGCAGATTAACTTTAAAGGTAAAAACAAAAATCATTTCCTTTTTAATGGGTTAATCTTTATATTGTTTTGATTGTAATTGCCATTAATGGTTAACCTGGAAAACGAGATCAATTTTACCGTTATTTTTATCGTGTATCCTTTTTGTAGTAAAGTTTTTTTTTATATTATTTGTGATACTATTAAAAAAAGTAAAGGAAACGATTAACAGTCAACAATTTAGATTCTGCTGCCATTATCAGCTCATTCTATTAGATAAACTTATTGATCAGTCAACTTGCTACTCGAAAGTGTATTATCAACAATCTAAACTTTTTTCTTTCTTCAAATCTGAGCTGATTGACCATTGTCCGATTCGTTTATTGATTGATATTGAGATTGTATGTTACAGGGAAAGAGGGTGAAAATATAACAAACAATTAGAACATTTTAGAGAAGCATTTTTTAACTTGTATCGAAATCGAATGAAAAAGTTGATTAGATGATCCGGAGAGAGATGATTGGATAGAGAGATGGTCATTTATCAAATGGATATCTTAAGGAAGCAGAAATTAGTCCTGATTCCATGTGTGTATGAGCCTCTTGAGTTTTGATTCGAGTGGAAAAAAAAAGTTCCAAATCTTTTTTCAATTGATTCCAAGATAAGAATTTATAAAATTTTCTCTCTTTATTATCATTTGAGACAAAGGAGACAAATTGTTTGACCAAATACCATCGACTCTCCATATTGACTTTCCCAACATCTCTTTTACTCTCATATCCTTGTCTCTCTCTCACTCTTAAAACAGAATGGTCATTCATCTCTCTCTCTCTCTCTCTCTCTCTCTCTTCTTTCTTTCTCTTTTGGGTGACATCTACTATCTGGATAATAGTTTGTTTTTTGTATCAATGAAGATGAGATGATAACAACAATGACAATGATGAGGATAAAGTCCAAACAAATCTAACAATCAATGTGTGAATATCATCCTACTCCTTCAAATAAGTTATATCTCTCTTTCACTTTCTCTCTCATTCTCTATTGGGAATGAAGATAAGTCGCAAAATCGAAGCAAAAAAAGTTCTAACAAATATCATCGTCAGTTATCTTCATAAACTTAAATCGCTTTGATACTAAAGTAAAGAAAGAGAGAGAGAAAAAAAATCATTCTAACAATTGATAACTTTTTTGTTCTATTCCATGTTTCTTAGATGTACTTTCGTTTATCAAACCCCAGTCTCACTTTTTCTCATACACTGATTGTGATTTATCGTTTTCTAAGGCAAAAAGAGAATCTTCCATAGACTTTATTCCATATATAAATAATATGGATTCTATAAACTCTAATGAAAATAGATTAGTTTCGAAATTGTTTGGAAAAGAAAATAAAAAAAAACTTTATTCTTTTTATTCCAAGTCATGGAAACGAATCAGTAACAGGTCTTGATTTCAGAATTGTATACAACATCGAATTCAAAAGAAGTTCGAAGTCCTAATCAATGATTCTACCTTGATCTTACCTCATTGTGGACATTTCGAAAAAGATTATAACTTGTCCAGTCTTTCCAATATTAGAACCTTTCGAGTTCATTTCACTATTCTAATGACGATTATGAAAGTTTTAACTTTCAAAAATCAACTGAATTAGCTAAGATACACATGGAGTTTACATTAATCATTCTAGATGAATTCGAACGTTAAATTATTCTCTTAATTGTTACTATTAATTTCTAATCGATATTTAAGTTACTTTTTGTTTTCCTGAAAAAAAATCGTAATTTCAGTTGAGGCTTCAGTTGTGTGATTATTTCTTTGATAGTCAACAATTAAATTATTAATTAAACTCGAAACACTCTGATTAAGACAACAATCAAGGAAGAGAGGGGAAAATATTCAAAATCAATCTCAATTCGTACAATTCAATAAAACTTTTTTTCTAACAATTCAAGAAATTTTCTCCTTCCAGTCTAATTATTTATCTATTTGAAACGCTAACAATTAACTAATCAACAACTTCTTTCCTGCTTCTTTTGATAATTGACTGTTATCAATTGCAATCGTAAATCAATGGATTATTAATTAATCTTGAGATAAACTTGGTATTTAAATTCACTTATTTCTTCAACAATCAAGTTACAATGACAAGAATGATAATCTAATGGCAATAAAAGGTTAACTGATTATTAAAATTAAATCTAATTGCTTCGTTTCAATAATCAAAAATCAAAGTAAAAAAAAAACGATAATCAGTAAATAACAATCTAACTTAACAATATTAAATTGTTAGCCTTAATTACTTTCGTTACTTTTTCAAATTGTTGTTGCTAATCAACAATAAATGTAATTGGTATTAAATCAATTGTAATCAGGTAATCAGATAGTTAGACGATAATGATTATCCTAATCATCGTACTGATTAATATTCAAATAAGTTTGGTGTTTTGGTCAGCTAAAGGTCAGTTGATTATCTGTCTGGGTTAAATCATTTGTCACCAATTCAAGTGATCAGTAGTTGTTGATAAATAAATTGGACAATCAGGTAAACCAAATGATCACAATAATTTTTAATTAAACGAAGGTGATAATTGAAGGTTAATGAGGATGACTAGTTTCATCCATGATGATAAGATGAGATCGATGATTATGAGGGTGAGTAAGTTGATGGTCAGTTTTAAGTTAAAGTAGCCAAACGAAAACACTTTCGAGAAACTTTTTGGTACAATATTCGGGAACGAGGTCGGGGAAAAAGTCCTCGTAACCAATGTGAGCATCGGTACCAAAAAGTTTGAGTAAACCTCGATTTACTTGGTGAAGCTTGTGATTAGAACAACTATCGAGAAATTGAACATATGAAGGACGAATGCAACTTGGTTCAAGTACCAAAGTGACAAAGATCATGTTAACCGAAACAGCGTAAATAAAGGGTATCAACGTGTCAAATGAGGGTAAGTACGGGGTGGAACAGGCTTGTTGTAGTGACCATTCAATACACTTCCAGGCAATATTGGTGGCGATTAATGAGCTTGGATAGTAGATCATTGTTGGTCCTGAAAGAGCTCCAGCTAAGGCTGAATGCCAGGGTTCACTTGAATTAGTTAACCATCGAAGGCTACATCGTGTTGATCGATATATTCCCGTGAATAGAGATGCAAATAGACAAAGTTCCAACTTTTTTCGATTGGTTAAAACTCGTAAAATGAGACCTGGATCACGACGGATTTGGGGAAACTTAAGACCAGCTACAAGAGCAGCTTGACCAAACCAAAGGGTCAAGAAGCTTCGACTAAATCCACCAAGAGTATACAAGGAACAAGAACTTGAATGGCCACAGGCATCATGTTTACCATTTACAAACCAGGTACCGATTTTGTTTATCAATGACAAAGGTGAATATGATGGTGGAGGAGTTGATGAAAAAGATGAACAAGATGATTGACCATCGTCGTATTCAATCAGTTGTTGTTGGTCATCTGAACAAGAACCTTGAGTATCTTTATCACAATCAGAGTCATAAGATTTAATTTTGTCGTCTACCAGGTCGTTATTATTATTATTGACCATTGAATCAGAATTATCGTTGACTTTGAGCTCTATTTCCGTTTGATCAGATCTTTTCCTTGAGAATTCAGTTCGACCCAAGATCAATTTCAATGCCATGCCGATTGGATCACGACGGAGGCCATACTTTGAGGTGATGTACATTAACATTGATATTGAAAAGGTAAATATTAGCACTTCACCTTTTGGTATTGGTTTGACCTTTGAGTGACGAAGGGTAACTCGATAGATGCACTCGGAGGCAACATTGGCACAATAGAAGGCCAGAGCTTTTCGCCGTGACGGATGTTCAATAAGAATGGCCATAAGAGAGCCAAGAGTGGCCGGAACACTGGCAAAAAGGGAAAAGTAAAATCCACCAGCAAGTGAACGTAAAACACAAACTAAGGTAAACATGGAAAGACAATTGAATCCAAGGAAGGCTGAAGATCGCATGGTACTGGTTAATGCCGCTTTAAGTGCGGTCAAGTTGTACTTTCGCTGGACAGCAAAGTTGGTCAAATAGAGAGCGGAATACATGCCGAGCGCTTTTTCCGTTACATCTAGGGAAAGGTCAAGAGCGTAAGCTGAACACGAAGGTTCCCAGGCGTGGCCGATCTCATAGCAATTGTACGGGAATGACCAGTCCTTCATCAATAGTTTATCAAACAATTTACTCCACACTGAGGGCATTTTAACCGGAGGAATATCAAATGTTTTGAAACGAAACTAAAACCCGATGAAAATAAGACGAAAAATTTGAATGAACTTTTTGATAACTTGGTTAAAATGAGAAATAACTTTTGATAAAGTTGATGATAATTATGGTTATTAAATCAATTATTGATAAATAAATAATTGAATCATAAAGAGAGACCAACAATCAGCTTAATTGCTGCGGATGAATCAAGTGTAGCAAAAGTTGATAAGGTTCATGATGTTGATTAAATAAAGATTAAAGTTTCATTGTAGCTTAATGAATATGGATATCAGTTGATTGTTATGATGATAAAATAATTAACTTGTTAATTGTTGATCTGTTTTATGGGTCACTTTGTGTCACTTTTTGGTTCAATTGTGTCTGTTGTTAGATTGGATGATTAGGGAAGACAAAGTTAATCAATCGAAAAGGTAGATTGATGGTGATGGTGGTGGTTTGAGTGTTCATCCCAACAATCAGAATGAAAATGAAATTGTTAACACACAAAAAGACAATTGGATTGAGGGAGAAACGATAATGATAAACACGCAAAGCTAATTCAATAAAAACAGAAGAATATTAATTTTACCTGTTGTTCAATCAGTCAAACTGAATTTTCTTGTTCGTTGCCTCAAGGTAATACTTTCATTGGAACGTTAAAATTACATGGAGATGATGATGATGGAAAAGGTTGTTCAAGGTCTTCAAGTGGACACCATGTAAACGAGTGTAAGGTTGATAGTAAGATGAAGGTGAAAATTAAGAATTGGGGAAAAAAGTTTCCATCAACATGATGATGATCATGAGAGATGAAGGAAAATAATTTTCATCTCATTCAGTTGAAAATCAAATTCAATCTACTTGGAGGTCAATGGTTTGATTTTGTTGATGAACTGAATTCAGATCATCATGATTGTTATCAAATATCAGAGAGAATTTATTTTTCTCATTTCTAAACTTTAATCATGATACTTTCGTCTTATTTTTGGTTCATTTCCATGATATAAGCGGTTCACTTGCAATTCAATGAATCAATTTCTTTGTAATATTGTTCAACAATTAGCTAATTAACTGGTTCGAAATCTCATCAGAGAAAAAGCAACAATTAAATATCATCAATTTAGAACTTTTTTCAACCCTTTCCTTGATCATCTCTATCACTCGATGATAAATCAAATTGTATCGTTTTGATTGATTATGTCAATCAATTTTTTTCATTGTAATTATTTTGGTGTGAAAAAAAAGTTTCCCCACAAAAATTTGCTAACAACAATCAAGGAAAAAAAATAAACAACAATTTAAAGTAAATTACTGATAATTACCAATGTAAACTAATTGAGATAAAATTAATCAAATATTAAGGCCAATAATCAATCTGATATCTGGTTAATGTTAACATTTACTTTTAATTTTAATCATTTCTGGTTAAGGTTTGGGTTGAAAATTTATATTAACCTTATTATGAGAGGATAAAACCAAATTAACTGTATCAACCTTTGCTTTCAGTTAAATTTGAAACAATTAATTGATTGATTGAACATTAATCGTCATGATAAGTTCATCTTTAACTCTCTACCTACTTTATATTTTAAAATTGCAATCACTACAATCAAATAATTGCTTACAATTCAGTTATGAACTTGGTTCAATTTCAATGAAGATTTAATCTTAATGTTAATTGTTTACAATTTACCTTTTACTTTCCTTGTTTACCTTTTTCAAGGTGAACAAGTAACTGTAATCAACACACAACAATAACAAACAACACCTTAACTGACCTTTAATTGACCGTTAACTTTTTCACTATTCAGGTGAGCATAAATTTTATGATACTAAGATGGTTAACAATTAACAATTAGCAATTTAAATCAACCCAATCCAAGAACCAGAAAACCAAAACTATCAAACAAGTTAAACCAGTTTAAAAGTAATGTCACAATTTAATTTCACTTTGGCTCCAAATTTGAAAAGCAGATTAACTGTTAATCCTTAATCTTAATCAGATTTTACCTTATGAGAAATTAAATCATTTCCAGTAGATTTAAAATCAATCAAATATTTGAAAATCTTCATCATGTTATCAAAGAGCAATAGAAAATTTTTTTATTCTTTAACAAATTCATCATGATTCATGTTAATCACCATGGAAAAGTAATGATAATTAACCAAGCACAATTTGAATGGTTAATTTGTTTCATCAACAATCATTAATGATCAATAGTGAACAGCCCCAATTATCATGATTATCATTAGTCAATCATTAATTTTATCAACTCATTGATAATTTTTGATAATTCATACATGTTCATGAAGGTAAATTGTTGATTTAATTTGAAAATTATTACCAAACGTAATTGAATCATTAATATTGAACTAATTTCCTGTTATAATAACATGATGATAATAATGATGATTAACTAATAACTATGGATGAATATTATTAATATTATTTTTCTCCATTTAAATCATGAAAAATGAAAAGGAAAAATTTTGGAAAAACTTTTTTTTTTCATTTTCTCTATTCAATTTGTTCATCGCTCTTCATGATGATTTTCCATGAGTTTTATCGTTATGGTTATTGGTATTATCATTATTGTTTATAAAACATTATCATGATATCATTTATTATTACCTTTTATTATTATTATCACAGAAAAGGTATAATATTGAGAGGGAGAGAGAGAGAGAGAGATGAAAGATGATGATGATAATGATGAAACTGAAAAACACCAAAAACTAACAATTGAATAAACGATAAAGTTTCATTGTTTCAGATTGGATATTCCATCATCATGAAATTATGAATATCATAGTGATAAACATTTGAGAGATAAATGAAAATAAGAATAAAAAAGTTCTGATGTGGGTAAACAATTCATCATGAAATATCAGCATTTGAATATCAAGATGATATTAATGCCTTTCTATCATCAATAATTCAATCATATTGTGGTTTCATGAAATAAAATAACAATTCAATTGATAATTTAAATTGTTGGTTATGTTTTTATGGAACTTTTTTTTTCGTATTATTATTCCGGTAACGAATCTTATTTATCTCATGTGATGAGTTTCATGTTGATAGTAAAATTATTAGGATGATCAGAAAGTTTTGCATGTAACAATCATAATTAAACCTATATCAGAAGTAATTAACAATAATTGAACTAATTGAAACTATTAGAAAATTAAATTAATTTTCAGGTCATAGCGATGAAATGGCCTCAAATTATTTTTATCGTATCGATCAATTGAATAATGATTTCAATATTTTATTATTGAAATAAATTCATATTTTACTTTGATAAGTGAAATTTTCAACAATTAACTAATCACAATTAAGGAAAATTAAATTCAAAATTTGGTCTTTTAGCAAATTGAAAATTCATCACGGATCATGAAATTTCCATCTACTCAATGGTAATTTCATTTTCATTTCTCGTTTGCTGAAAATATTTAATCATGATGTTGAAATTTCATATCAAAGAAAAATATCAATTTTATTCAATAATTATTGAAATCTATTTTTATGTCGATCACGATGATTTTCATCGCTGTTTCATTTATTTTATTATAAAATCTTCTACTTATTGTGATGAATTTTCGTGCTGCTGATCATCTAATAATGAATTATCATGAATTTAGTGATAGATGTTTGCAACTTTTTCCACCTCTTTGATTTTCCTTGTGGATGTAAGCCGTAACCCGCCTTTCACCTTCACTCATCATTCAATATTTTCAATCATCTGATTGGTTGATATGTTCGTTATTAATAAATCAAGAAAAACTTCATGGTAAATGAACTTATTCAGAGTTTATTTCTTTCCTTCTATTCAGACATATATTCATAAAGTAAGGTGTAAGTTGAGAAACAGGGTGAAAGTGTAACTTATATTGCTTGTGAAAGATGAAGAGAGTAAGAAACAAAGAAAAAGTAACTCATTCATTCAGATTTTATCCTGAAAAAAACATAACATGAAGAATACTCTGTAAGCTTAAGATTTATATGTACATCTAAGTTTCCATCTTATTCATGATAAGGTTGAAAGTAATTCAGTGAATAAGCAAAAAATAACATGATCCAAATATGTAACTGATACACATTAACCAAAACAGGAAGTAGATCAAGATGCTTGTGTGTGTGAACTGATTCATTTCATTCATATATTGAATAATACATGATACACAATGAAGATACCACGATTATAATGATGATATAACATGAGAGATGATATTTCAATCCATCAATGAGCATCAATATCAAGGCCAATAAAAATGGACTAACTTACACCCAACACACACACAAACATATAATATCATTCAGTGTGATCAGATTAACTATTTCATTGGCTAACATGATCAATACTCAATAACCCCACCATCAGATTGAGTAACATTCAAGTTACTTACAATGTTATCATCATCATCATCGTCATATCAATCAAATAGTTTTTTTTTCAATCTAATCACTTTGATAGTAATATTTATTTTTCCCACCCTCATAAACAATCACCTTCACCCTTCACATGTTACTTGAAAATCACTCACTGAATTTCATCATCATGATGAAAACCTTATAATCTAATAACCCTCCGGGTAAGAAAACACATTTCCTATCTCATATGGAATCCATTGGATGATATAAATAATAATATCCCTTTGATTTCAAGTTTCAAATCAAATTTTTCCTCCCCCAATTAATCAAATCAGTTCAGTATCATCAACTTAATCATAATACACACTGATTATTATTTACATTTAATTTTTACCTCTTTTTTTTTGCTTAAGGGATTAAATCAATATTTACTCAATCAAATGAAAACCATAGGAAATTATTTAAGTGGCAGTTTAAATGCAATAATATTAATATATTTACATAGCATTGGAAACATGATAACATTTAAATCACCATGTAATTCAAACAGTTCACTAGCCATTGGTCATCTCAAGTGATTGTCCGATGGCAAAAAAAACGCTGAGATAATTTGATTAACATTATCATCAACCCATTGATAACACAATCAAGTAATTAGATACATATTGCTGTTGTTTTTTTCCTCCTTTGATAACAATTAGCAATATGTTGAATCATTAACGATGATTAAGTGTATTCATATTCATGTAACACTATTAAGCTGCTTCCTTATCATTATCATCTAATTAGTTTATTAATCATGAAATTTCATGAATAAGAACAAAAGATTTTTGCTTTTCCACCGAATGAAGATATTCATGATGAATAGAAGAGGTAATAATATTTAGTCCTGGAACTTTTTCCCTCACTCCCAATTTAGTGAATGAAACATTTTCTACCTTTGTTATTATCAATATGAATTCACTTTGAATTTTTGAATCTTTCAAGTTCATTTCTTATCTTTCTTTTCATGGTAATAGCCTGAGGATCTCTGGCGATGAATTTAATGGTTTCAATTGGAAACTATTCAGCTAATTGAATCAATTAATATTCGAATTTACTTAAGGCGGTAAAAATTTCAACTGGTTCTGATTCTATGAGATTTAATTAAGATTCACAAACATTGAGATAATATTTTGAGTGAAACTTATTTCTTAATATGAACTTTTTTGCTTTTATTACTTTTAAATTCGAGAATGAACTTTAATAGTTAATAATTGTTTCCATTCATGATTCTGTGTTTATGTACGTATGTTTAAATAATAGAACTTGATAAGAACTTTTTTATGAAAGGACAAAGGTATCGAACTTTATTATCGAACATGATTTTATATTTTAGTTTTCATGAGATGAAACTTTTGTCTCTCATGAGACATGAACAGAAGTGGCAGATCTGTTGCTTGTATCGAAACCTTTATGTATCGTGTTTTGGATGATAAATATATTCAGATGATGATGAAATTATCTGATGATTCTGCAGAAAAGGAGAGAGAGAGAGACAAAAGAGCCCAGGTAAAAACGTATCATGACATGAACTCTAAAGGTATATTCATACATTATAAACGTTTCCTCACGCAATCTATCAATTAACAACCATGGTGACGTTTAGATTCACAATCTATCAGATCAATTGCCAAGAATATTCATTTTTTGCTCAATCCACTCCCATCGGAAAATTGTTCCTTCCTCTTCCCACCCCGCTGAATTTACCATCATGTAAAATCCTTTCCACCCCTAACCTTGATAATCTTATACTCGGAAATTTGTTCCAAGCCTTTGATTTTAAATTTTAGTAATGCAAACAAAACAACATGAAATTCATACGCATCATCATGAATAATAATAAAGTTTCATGATGGTAACTATTAATATTAATACTTTACAACTTTTTACTTGCAATTTTTATCGTCAATCGATTATTAGTATCAGCAATCAATTAATTCTTATGCTTGACAGTAATTATTGACAATAAATTAGTATTTTCTTTTTCATTTTAATTTCTTTGAGCTCATTTTTTGAAATTCTCATCTGTTCATGTCAATTCATGTCCACCAACTATGATTGTCTTTATCATTAGGTAAATGATCAATATTTTTTTTTGATGAAGTTAAGATATTGAAACATATTGCCGATAATATCATACAGGGTGATATTGTCAGTGTACTTTAGGTTGTTGATTGGTCAATGAGTGGACATTACCACTGACCTATTGGCTTGTCTTTCTTAGTTATACACAGAAGGATGAATGATATTCTTGTAGATTGAGCTTCTTAATGAAAATGTTTGACATGAAATCAATAATAAAATGGTTACCAGAGTAAAAAAAGGAAGGTGAAAAAGGCATAGTGAGGGTGGAAATATCGAAGATGAAGAGAGAGAGAGAGAGAGAGAGAGAGAGAGAGATATT